ATGGCTGTTTATTGGTACCTGACCTAAACTTTACATTTTTGTAGCTTACCTGTGTGAGTACTTGCTCGAAGTAATGCCCGAAATACAAAATGCCCGAAATACAAAAAGAGAAGTTTTAATCTGTCCCGGACACATCACAGTGCAGGCAGAGCACCTTCCTGTCTGCAGTGGTTGCTGGGACTCACCTCCTGCAGTGTCAGCAGTGTGCAACAAACACACTGGAACAAAACACAGTGACTGGCTTTTAGCTCAGGCTCTTGTGTGGTCAGCAGCGCAGCGTGGAGGTACGTGGGGGTGAATGGCTGCTGCGAGTTCTTTTCATCTCCTTTCCACTTTCAGTTCACCTAAAGGTAGTTGTTGTATGACATGAAAGGAGTTAAGTAAAGTCTCAGAGGACTTAACTTTACGTGTTTTCTGGAGCCTTTTTTCAAAAGATTGCAATCTAGCCAACTGTTACGGCAAATAGTTTTATTCATGCCCTCACATCTAAAATCTGAGGACTGATAAAGCACGGAAAGAAGTAACAAATGGACCTGGATAAAAGTCACATTTCTCTTTCTCAGTGAGTGAAGCGTGAACACAGAGGAACTTAAAATAATTTTTTTCTAAACAAGACCAGAAGCAGGGCCAAGAACTCTGGCTTACTCACGCACATAGTAATGGAATTTTCTGAGTTGAAGATATACTGTGCAAACTGAGGGTTAAAAATTTCCACACTGATGTTTTCCCATCCCTCCTCCCAAGGAGCATGGCGGCCTTTGCAGGGATGTGTGATGGAGGCTCCACGGAAGATGGCTGCGTGGCAGCATCTCGGGACGACACCACTCTGAATGCACTGAACACAGTGAGTCTTGGGAAGTTGCCCTGGTGGGAAGAAAGTTCTTTTTTCTCCTGTGTTGGCTGTAGGGATCCTCTGTGTAATGATCATAGAATCTTAGGAGTAAGTGCTGTGGTATGCTGCTGGGGCTGAAAGATGAGTCGCAGTCTGGGCCAGAGGGCTCCCTACCCTCAGCCAGTGGTGTGGCACCTCCAGATTCACCTCCTGACCTGTGCCTGGGCTGCAGGATTGTGGGGAGCCTCAGATGGGAGCCTGATGCTAGGGGTAACCTTCACTGAGATCTCACAAAGCTGAGCACCACGCGTAGTGATCTTACTTAATCCTCACAGCACCGTCAGTAAGGAAGGAGGAGGCTCTGTCAGTGTCACCTTGTGGACACGAGGACATAAGTGAAGTCACAGTACAGGCCGTTTACTCGAGATGTGAACCCAGAGTCCATGCTTTTCACCTTAATGTGTTCAAGAAGTGTGTGGAGGGAATGGAGAAGAAGCTTGACTTCTTTGAACAGATTTGTTTTTTATAGATTTGTATTTGGAGCCATGTAAATATTTCACGTAATTAGAAAACAAAATTAAGTTGAAAAAATAACAATCCTTAAAAAAAGCTAAACTAAAGTGTCACGCATGAGCGTAAGGGTCTTGAGTTGGCTGTAGGACATCCCGCGTGAGCCCTCATCTGCTTCTGTTCTGGGACGTACACCACAGCCCAGAACAACAGCACTTGAACTGTTGGAAGTGGTTTAATTACTGAAACCAGTTTCCTTTTTTGGACACTCCTTTTTGACCTTAGAATATATCCTATAGGGCTGTATAGGAAAATTAATGTATCTTAACGTTCCTTGAAATAATTCTTCTCTGTGTATTTGATTATGTGAGATCATTAAATCTGAAGTAATCATCAGGTGTTATGGATTTCTGATATATTAATAAAGAGTCTGCTTGGTTACGTACACTTACATATGACTGAGCATGAGGCTGAGCAGCTCTTTGGATGATTAACTAATGTAATTTAAGTACCCTTTTTCTTTTTCTCTTGAGAGGTCACTGTTGTTGGAAGGGACTTCCAAAATGATCTGTTCCAATCTCTAAATAGATAAGAATCCAAGGCTCAGACCAGATGACTTGTTTGAGTGCCAACAATCCAGAAAGTTGATAACAGATCCCAATTTGAGTATCTTTCTACTATGTGGCTTGCTTTCAGGGAAAACAGGTAGATATCTGAGTGATATAGTTGATTTTTATTCCTAGTGTAGTTGTGTTTCTTGAGTTTTACATAAGATTATAATAGTCTTTTGTATGTTGGAAGTTGGATGATCTTGCTGGAAATATGCTGTGTTCTAAAGAAGTGAATGATTTTTTATATTCCCATTTACTTTCTCACCTATTTGATGCTTAGAGTTTTTGTTTTTACCAGGAATCCTTATTCTGAACATTTAGTGATACAGCCAGATGGGATCTTTGAGATTATTTTACAGGTGAGGAAACTGAGACTTACAGATTGGTGGAACTGCAGACAGTGGCAATGGTAGATGTAGGTGTGAATGTCTGAATTCAAAATACCCTAAATGTTATGTGTATATTCAGAGTAGCTCTTTGATATGAGTTTGTGTTCTATTGGGTGTTTGTTTAAGCTTTATGAAAAAAATTCTCCTTTCATGATTATGTATCCCATGATTATAGAGATCATTTCTATGCTTTCTTCTTCATGTTTTAGTTATTACATTTAGGTCTGTCATTCATTTCAAATCAACTTTGTCTGTGATGTAAGTAGAGGTGAAAGTTCATTCTTTTCTACACAGATGGCCAGTTATTGGAGCAACATTTGTTGAAAATAACCTTTTCTCATTTAATTGCCTTGATGCCTTTATTGAACATCAACTGCTTGTATATGTTTGGGTCTTTTCCTTTTATGAACGTTTCTTTGAGCATCCCATGATTACAGAGATCATTTCTATGCTTTCATTGAATCTATGGATCAGTTTAGGAAGAATTTACATCTTAACAATTTGAATCCTCCAGTCCATGAACATTATATAGTGTCTCTCCATTTTTATTTATTTATTTTTTAATAGTGGCGCTGAGGATTGAACCCAGGACCTCATGTGTGCTAAGCATACTCTCTACCACTGAGCTCTAACCCCCTTTTGTGTGTGTGTGTGTGTGTGTGTGTGTGTGTCTTTTTAAAAAAGGTTTCTTTAATTTTTTGAGTAAGATTTTGTAGTTTTCAGTGTAGAGGTTTTACACATACTTTGTAAAGTTTATTTGGTAATTAATTATTGTTTAAAGATTCTATTATTAATAAAATAGTATTTTTAAATTTCAGTTTCTAAATGTTCCTTGATAGAGTAGAAATACAGTCAATTTTTGTGAGTTGAAGGAATACAAAGGTCAATATTAGTAGCTTTCTGGTTGGTTCCTTAGGATTTTCTGTTTGCACCATCATGTTATTTGCAAATAAGTACAGCTTTACCTCTTACTGATTTATGTGTTTTATTTCTTTTTAATGCTTTATTGCACTTGCTTGGACCTCCAGTAGAATATGGAATAGAAGTGATGAGAATGGATATCTTGCTTGCTTTCTCATCTTAAGGAGAAAACACTCAGTTTCCATTGTTAAGTACAGTATAGTGTTTTTTGTTGTAATCAAGTTGAGAATGTTTCCTTTCATATCTGAGTTTGTTGAGTTATTTTTTTTTTTTACCATGAATGGGCTTTGAATTTGGTATCTAATGAGATGATCTTACGGTTGTTATATTTTATTTTGTTAGTATGGTGAGTTACATTGATTAATTTCAAATATTAAACCAACTGTGTCTTCCTAGATCAAATCCTGATTAGGTATTATGTACTTTTGGATTCAATTTGCTATAATTTTGTTAAAAACTTTTTAATTTGTGTTCATGAGGGATAGTAAGCTATAGTCTTTTTTTCTTTGCAATGTTCTTGTCTGGTTTTTGTATGAGAGTAAAACTGACTTCAAAATATTAGTTGAGAAGTATTTCCTCCTACTTTTTTTTTTCTCCTTAAAGAGTTTATAAAGGATTGATCTTTTTCTTTGTTAAATGTCTGATACAATTCACAGTGAAACTGTCTGGAACTAAATTTTTGTAATGGAAAGTTTAAAAGTGTTCCTGAGTCCAAGCTCATACTGTTCATTGCACAACAGGCCAATAAATTGAGACAAGGCATTGGGGCAAGGAATAGTGACTTTATTTGGAAAGCCAGCAGACTGAGAAGATGGTGGACTGGTGCCCCAAAGAACCATCATCTCGCCTGAGTTAAGAGTCAGGCTTCTTTCATATTAAAAGAGGAGGGGATATGGCTGTTTGTGGCAAACTTCCTGGTGCCAGAATCCTTTGCCCTTGTAGCTGTTCTCATGCATCTGGTCACAATGTTCCTATAAACCTCCAGCAAGACAATTGTTATTTTCTGTTCTGCAGCTTTTTGCCTCTCTGTGAATGGAAAAATGTTATACCTTTAAATATCAGAGCCTTGGTAAGGGGCTGTCATCTACATTTCAGGCTCTAGGCAACATTCCTTTACAAGGTGCAGAGCCAGCATGACGAAGCACAGGCAGCAGAGCACAAGGGTTAAAGCTAAAGGAATAGATTCACTCGATACGGAGTCAGGTTTGTTCTCTGTTACAAAAGTGCAAATAGATACAGGCCTGTTCAGACTTCATACTTCATCATGTGATGCTGGTAATCTGTTGGTCTTTGTCTCTTAAATGTTTTGTCCATTTCACCTGGGTTATCAAATTTATTGGTAAAAATTTCCGATTATTCCTGTAGTATCTTTTAATGTGTATAAGGATCTGTAATTTTGACCTTTTTTTCTTCTTAATATTGCTTATTTGTTTCCTTTTAATCAGTCTAAATAGAGGTTTATCAACATTATTGATCTTTTTCAGAGAGGTAGCATTTGGTTTCATTGATTTTCTTTATTTGTTTTCTATTTCATTGATCTCTGATCTTATTTTTATTATTTCTTTTCTTCACATTTTGGCTTAATTTATTTTCCCCCCTAGTTTCCTAAAGTGGAATCTTAAATAATTGATTTTATCACAAATTCTAATGTGTTATTCTTCCATTATCATGTTAAAATTAAACAATTTTTTATTTGCATGTAATTTCTTTTTTTACCCATGAATTGTTTAGAATTAAACTGTTTAATTGTCAGGGACTTCAGATCTCTCCCTCTCTCCCTGTGTCTCTGTCTCTGTCTCTCTCTCCCTCTCGCTATCCCCCCATCTCTCCCCCTTCTCCCCCCCATCTCTCCCCCTTCTCTCCCCCATCTCCCTGCCCCCTTTGGAATGGGATTGATTTCTGATTTAGTTCTGCTGTGGTCAGAGAGTACTCAGTAAGATTTCAGTCTTTTGAGATCTTTGAGATCTGCTTCTTGGTTCAGCATGTGATTTATTTTGATGAATGGTCCATGTGTGTTTGTAACGGATTTATATTCTGAAGTTATTAGGTGTACTGTTTTATAATTGTCAGTTTCTTTAAGGTGGTTGATACTGTTATTCAGGTCTTCTCTATCGTACTAATTTTTTTATCTAGTTGTTAGTTACTAAGAGAGATGTATTAAACTCTTCAACAGTGATCTGGATTTGGTTATTCCTTTTGCTTCTGTTAGTTTTTGCTTCATATATATGTAAATTGTGTCATTAGATGCATGAACATTTATAATAGTTATCTTTCTCTGTGTATTGACCCTTCTGCCTTTTTGGTATGACCCTTTTTGTAATGTTCTTTGTCTTGAACTCGGTTTTATCTGGTATTAATACAACTACTCTAGCTTTCTTATGCCTGTTGTCTGTGTGTGGTGTATCTTCTACTAGCTACTTACTTTGAATCTTGCTTTTTGCTTTTATTTAAAGTACTTCTCTTGTGAACTTTAGTTATTTGTTTCTTGCTTTTTTAATCTAGTCTGGCAAACTCTACCTTTTGTTTAGAGTGTTTAGTCCAGATGATTCTTGATTATATAAAACTTGAGCCACATGCATTC